CTCTTTCTCACTTCTCCTTTTCTCTAAAAATTCCAAGCTCCTTCACCTCTCTGAATGCACAGGTGGTGGAGAACTAAAGTCTGAGTATTACTATATCCTGTTTTTTTTGCCCCACATTCAGGAAAAAAACCCACAATAAAATAAAAACGTATCTAAACCCCAGTTACATTTGACTGTTAAGTCCATTTCAATCCATGGAAGATTTGAGACAGACTATTTCCCCAAAGGCTACTACATTCGAGATTTTGACATGTGTCACGAAATTTTCATATGCAAACGATCATCTGTATTTGAACAGAGACGCAAGCTGAAGAAAACAGAATAGAAGGGAAATGTCGGTTGTTCCCTTGCTTTTAAATGCCATGTGTTTGAATGGCTGAGGCCATAATCTGAATAGGGGAAGTAGCCTACAGTGAGCTATGAAAACTCTGAAGGGAAGAAAGTCCAACTCAGTCACTGAGCTGAGAAAAAAAAACAGAAAAAAAAACTGTTGACCCTTAACTTTTCAGAGCATTGAGGTATTAATATTTGTCCTTAGCCAGGTTCACCTGTGTTCACTGCGTAACCAGCACTGCCACCGGAATTGCTGCTAATTCATTCATCCCAGGAAGGTGACACCAGGTAAAGAAACCACAGACTCTAATTTCACACTCTCCTTGAGACAATGCATATGTCTTCACCAAGCCGATGTGCTTCTGCGTGGAGACGACCTTCCTTTCCTCCAACTGTAAACTTGATCTGCAATGTGACCATAAAGACTCAGGTACTCTTTTAACAACAAAGGATGAAGAAGATAGATACTATCTCCACTGCATCCTTCTATCCTTTTGGCATTGGGCATCATCGAAGGCAAAAAGCTCACAGAAAGGCAGTGTTAAAAGGAGATTCAAACTGCACTCTTTCGGGTAGTTATTTATTTATTTGCCAGAGGGCTCATGCTCTCACTAGAGACAGGGGTGGGAAAAGGGGAAAAGCATGCCCGCCATGGGTGTGGTCGTGCCACAATCCTTTCTCCTCCATTTCTCCATCCTGTTGGGATTATTGGGTGCACACACACACCTGGTGTATTTCTCAAGCTGCCAGGGCTAGGATTCTCACTGAGGTCAACCATGTGGGATCCGGCTCCCTTAACCCACTGTGCTTCAGAGCTGACCCATTTAGAGAAAAAATTTAATTTTGTTCCAGGGATGTAGGTCAGCATATGTAATTAAGCCAACAAGTAGAACCACTTTAACACTTAGATTCTCCTAAAATGTCTTTTTTTTTTTTTAACCAACAGATAACCTCATGCATAAACTGTAGCACATGGGTGGGTATATCTGATATACAACATTGACACTGCATGTTTGTTAAAGATTCATATGGGCAAGATTATTTTTCCAGGGGAAATTCTGTTAGAAGATAATCCCCTTATTTTTCCAGGGGAAATTCTGTTAGAGGATAATCCCAAAATGATCTCTGCAAACTGCTCTTTATATAATAACTATAAGATATTTTTTAAAATTAAAAACTGTTTGCTTATTTTGCAATGGCACATGGCCATTCCTTTCAAGTGCTAATCTCCTTCTGCTTTGTAATCTCTGCACCTGTCAACCTCGGATACTTTTATATTCCTATGACCACAGTTGCACTTTAATTTCTGGTCCTGTGTACCTCTTCTCCTCCAGTCTCATCTGCTCCTCCCTAAATGAGCCTACATTTGAATGGAGAATTTCATTGGGTAGCTAGCTCTTAGCCCTTGAACTCCAATATCTATGAATAAAATGAGTTTTTTTTCTTCACTTGCTCATTTTTATAACAAAGATATGATATGACTCTGGGAAGATAAAAAGATGCTTGTAAGAATATAGATTGTCCTTCATGCCTCAGAACATGATATTAGTTCATGCAAAAGGACATGATCTTTGACATCTGTGACCCTAGAGTAATTTTTCAGTGTCTAATTTTATTTTCTGTCATGTGTGTTCTCTATTAGTGATGAGGCAGAAAGCTATACATCCCCCCCTTGTGGTTCCTGTCAGTGTCTGCCTTTAGCATCTCCAATTTCTTCCAATTTCAATCAGTCCCTATAAAATGTTAAAATAGTCCTCCTAAGCCAGAACTCCAGCTTCACTCCCTACTCAAACCTTGAGTAGCTCTCTACCACCTGCAAAATAAAGCCCAAACCCCTTGGCACAGTCCATCTGAAATGTCTACACTAAATCTCTGCTTTTTGAAATCCTATAGATTCCTAAATCCCAAATTTCTCCTTTTCAATCCCCCATCTGAGAATAATATTTCCATTTCATGCACCTATACAACAATCTGTCAGTAATTATAGACATCTGTGCTCATCTCTGAGACTATTATGAATTATCTGCAGAGTAGAAAAGGACAATGTCTTTTTCATCTTCCTGTAGTCCACACAATTACTGGCACATCAAAGGCACTCAACAAATATCTACAGCATTGAATAAAATAGACACAATGGTTAGTAAAATGAAAAATCAGCATCAGGGGCCAGCTCTGTGGTACAGTGTAATGTGCTGCTCAAGGGAAGCCAGATCCCACTTGGTGACTGGTTGCAATCCCTCCAAGTCAGCCGGAAACGCCCCACATGGGGAGTGCGTAAGAGCTAATGGGTTGGAGGACTGCAGAAAGGAGATGTGGTGTCCAGACCTGTGGTGGATGGGTGCTCCTCTCTCTTGCTCACTCTCATGGGCACACACATATTTTCTATCCTGAATAAAGAAAAAAAATTTTTTTGATTAGTCAACATTAGGCTTTAAAAACAAAGAAGCCTTTTTAAAAATAAATCGAGAGCATTATATATATCAACCCTATGCAAGAAGAATATAATAAGCTACATGTGTAATTTAAAATATTCTAGCAGCCATATTGAAAAAGAAACAGGTGGGGCCAGCAGGTGGCATGGTGGTTAAGGTCCTGGACTCCCACAACACTGCAGTTGAAGTCCTGAACCTGATAGCTTGAAAATCACTTAGGGCACATGTGTGTGCATGCCCAAAATCCCAGGAGGAAAATGGAGGAGAAGGGATTGTGGCGTGGCTATCCCCCTGGGAAGTGATTTCTCACTTTCTCTGTCTCCAGTGAATGCACATGCCCTATGGCAAAAACCAAAAGAAAAAGAAGTAACAGGTAAAATTCATTTTAGTAATACAATTTATCTAACCTAACATCAAAATATTATTTTAATAGGTAGTCATATAAAACTTACTTAGGAGATATTTTAAATCCTTTTTTCACATTGAGTCTTCTGAATCTAGTGTGTAGGATGTACTTATCACACATCTCAGTTCAAACTTGCCATATTTAAAGTACTTTATAGCCACACTTGGCTAAATGCTACAGTAGTAGAGAGAAGTTGAACCAAGGGTAGAAACGGAGTCCTGATCCTGGTTGACTATTGAGTAATTTTGTTACCACAGACAAGAAATTTAACTACTTTTTTTTTTTTTGTAATCCATTCATCTGAAAGGTGAGGCATTCTTTTCTTACCAATTTTACAGGGTTGTGATAGTATAAAATTAGAAACTGAAAGGAGGACACGTTCAAAAGGTTGAAAATGTCATATAAATGAGAGGCATTATAATTATTCCAAGAAGAAAGTAAGCTCTGGTGGCACAATTTAGCAGTGTTTCTTAGCACACCTGTGAATTTTAGTAACCATTCAGATCCTTAACAGAGGCTGAAATACTAAGTTAGAATTTCAGTGCCCCAACAGAGATATAATTCCCACATTAGAAAAATCCAATTAAACTGAGTTGCTTTGAAATAGTTATTCCCTTCTCCTCCTCCTCCTCCTCCTCCTTCTCCTCCTCCTCCTCCTTCTCCTCCTCCTCCTCCTCCTTCTCTTCCTCCTCCTTCTTCTCCTCTTCCTCCCTCCTCCTCCTCCCTCCTCCTCCTTTTATTATTTTAAGGTTTTTGCCCATAGGGCGCCTACGGTCGCTGGAGAGAGACAGAGAGACGGAAAGTGAGACATCACTCCCGGTGGGGGATGGCCATGCCACAATGCCTTTTCCTCCACTCTCGTCTCAGGATTTTGGGCACACAGGCACACGGGAACACGTGCCCAGTGTGATTTTCAAGTCGCCACATCCGAGGCTCTAACCCACAGTGATCATATGGGAGTCCAGGGTCTTAACCACTACACCACCTGCTGGCTCCTATTGAGTCTCTCTGATAACACATCCCTTGCTTCATTTATCTGACAGCAACTTAGCAGGGTTAAGACAGGATGCTAATGTCCCCATAAATTTCTCCATTGGAGGACCTGGGACAGGTTGTTCTAAGCCACACAGACAAACTTGGGAGATTCAGATTCATATTCATATTCAGGTTAATTCTATCATTGTGAATAAGAAAATGTTTTCAATACAATGCACCAGTCACAAGAATTTGAGAGCCACAGGATTGGGAAACGATGCAGGAATAGTTGACCTAGCCATTGTTTATTTCCATAGTGCTTGCCTGCCATTGAGGTGCTTCTGCGACACAGGGAGAGACACATTTCTCGTCGCTATGTCCTCCAGAGGACTTTGGACGGTCATTTATCATTCACATTTGAACTGTTATTTTTAGAAGATTCTGCCAAGTTCTAAATACTTCGGTTGTTGCTTATTCACCTGCTAAGATCTGATCTCTTACCGCTCTCACTGCTAAGAAATGGTCAAAAGATACTCAAAGTATTACTATTTCAGTTTTGGACATCAGTAAGCCGAGGCAGCAAGAAGCGATTCCCTTCGTTGTGTGTCGTGACTTGCCTTTCTACAATAATAGCTTCGGCTCCGGAAGGAGTCTACTTAAAACTTTGCTTAGTCCAAGACTCACTTTCCCTTCGCCGCCGCAAGGTGCACTTCCACCGGAGAGCCCCAGTTTCTTCCTCTTTCTCTGAAGATTGTTCTATCCCGGACTCACCCATGTTTAAGCCCCGCCCTAGTAACAGTTGCTAGGGGGCGGAGACCCGCGGGACGAGTACTAGGCGCGCATGCGGCAACTTGCCTTAGCTCTCGCGAGGTTTCGTCTTCCGGGAGCGCTGGAGGACGTTCCCTGCTCACCTCGTCGCGATGTGTGGGGACTGTGTGGAGAAGGAATATCCCAACCGGGTGAGCAAGTGGGCGCCGAGAACTTCCCGCTTCCTTGGCCGTGGCCGGCCTCGGCCGCACTGCCCATTTCCAGTAGTTGTATTTAGGCATCTGCCACCGAGGACGGTCCGTGGCGGTCGCTGCCCGCTGGTCCCCGCCCTGTCAGCCTCACCCGTGCTATCCTGAGCTCCAGGGAACAACAGAGGGTGGCCGTCGCTGCCCCGCTGGTCCCCGCCCTGTCAGCCTCCCCCGTGCTGTCCTGAGCTCCAGGGAACAACAGAGAAAACCCCATCGGGACCACCACGGAGAGTTCCACTCCCGTTTTTATTCTCGAGCACAGTTCGATAAAATTCACTTTTCTTACCGAATTCTAGCGCTGGAAGGGACTTCTAACGTCATCTGTTTTGATCCGGTTTTGCAGATGAAGAAACTCATGCCCAGCGAGGGGAAGTCACTTGTTCAAGCCCACATTCTAGTAATAACATGTGAGCCAGCACTAGAAATAGGGTATCATGGCTATTACTTTTTTAAAAATTTCTGTTCCTTTTAGGCACAAGATGTTGCAAAGCTTGTCTGTTCTCATTCATTCGAGGTATACTTACTGCACATTTATGGATGTATAACTGCGCCATTCCCAGGCCAGAATGGAGTGCCAAAGAAATCAAAGGCAGCTTCCACGCTGCCTGAGAGATTACAGTTTTTATTATATTATGTGATTAATAAAACATGAGTAGCACAATCTATAAATGCTCTTCAAGTTAGAGAAAGTAGAGAGTAATAGGAGGTAGATGCCATTCTCTTTCAAAAATAGGTGAACTTCTGTTGGGGCTTGAAGGACAGTTATGGTTAGGTTAAGATAGGAAAAGGAAAGGAGCAACTAGAGGATGTGTAAGTAACAAGAAAGATGATTCCTGCATTGCTGGGAGGAACAGAATCTATGGTTGCTTCTGTTTTTTAATATTTTATGAGTAATATGTAGCTTTTTGAATTCCCACATGGCACAACCACTTTGGAGAAAAATGGACATACTGCCCGCCAGCCAGGTGCCCTAGTGGTTAGTTCCCACATAGTGGAGTACACTGTTTGAGGCCCAGACCTGGTGGCTTGGAAAATGCTCTGGGCACATGTACCCAGGCCCCAAATAGAAGAGAATGGAAGAGAAGGGATTGCCCTGTGGCCCTCCCTGGGGGAGGGGGGAGGAAGGGAGATTTCTCACTATCCTTTCTCTCTCTCTCTGAGGAGCACATGTACCATAAAGCAAAAACTTAAAAATAAAACCCATATATCAATGACCCAACAATTCCTATTCTAGAAAAATATGTGTGCATATGCTCCTGGAGACTTGTGTAAGAATGCTGATAACAGCAACAGCATAGTTTGTAATAATAGAAAAAGTGACTGATATGTTCCCACAGTGTAACAGTGAATGAATGAGTAAAGAAAGTTAATGGAGGGACCAGCAGTTAGCGTAATGGCTATGTCGCTGGACTCCCACGTAGTCGACCGCGGTTTGAGTCCCGGACCCAGTGGCTTAAACTCACACTGGGCGCATGTGCATGCATGCCCAAGATCCCGAGAGGAGAATGGAGGAGAAGGGATTGCGGTGTGGCCATCCCCTCTGGGGGGTGATTTTTCGCTTTCTGTCTCTGTCTCTCTCCGTCTGTCTGGCGAGCACATGCGCCCTATAGCAAAAACCTCTCCAAAAAAAGAAAAAAGAAAGTGAATGGAAAGCAGTGGTTCTCAACTAGGAATGATTTTGCTTCTAGGGGACATTTGGCACTATCTGGCCACATTTTGTGGTTGCCACAAGGAGCGAGGGATACTACTAACGTCTGATGGGTAAAAGCCAGCAATGCTGTTACGCATCTTGCAATGCACAGGACAGCTGCCATACAGAGCGTTATGTGCCCCAATGTCTAATGCTGAGATTGAGAAACTCCGAAGTAGAACAATGAAAGTAAACCAGAATTGTGCACAGCAACTTGAAATAAGTATGTTGATGATGGAACACATAAAATATAATTCAGAAATAGGCAAAGTAATACATTTTATTTAAGGATGTTCCTGGGAGGTAAAACTATAAAAGAAAGCAAATAATTATCATAAAGTCAGGATAGTGGTCACTGCTAATAACATTAGAGTTAGATGGAGAACTGTCACATGAGGGGAAGGCTTCTAGGGTGCAGGCAATGTTTTATTTCTTGATGTGGGTGGTGGTTGTACAGGTGTTCACTTTATCCACTATGTTTGTTGCATATTTTCCTGTATTGTATTCTGTTTCATGTATTTTGCAGTGTAGGGTATGAAAGAGATTAGGTTGAATTCTTAAGAGTGGAGCTAATTGGCCACTGGCACTGTGGTGCAGTTGGATAAGGGAACCAGACCCTACATGGCCCACTGGAGTTCACATCCCAGCCTATAGACTTAAAAAACACATCAGATCACGTGTATGTGTCTGCCCAAAATCCTGATGGAAGAAAAAGAATTACAATGTGATCATGCCAAGAGTTCAGCTAGTTCAAGATTTAATGTAAACATCTCATGACTTTTTAAACTTTAGGCATTGGGCAACTATAAAATAATTTTAAATAGGGAAGTTATTACAAAAATCTGTTACTTAAATAAATGAGTTTTATGGCTCTATGTTGGGATGATGAAGTGGAGAGAAGTGTAAAGGGCAGCCCCACAGAGCACTTGGGGGAGCCATGGCAACAATAATATAGGCATAATATAATGAAGACATTGTTTCAAAGAAAGAATTAATACGACTCAACCAATTTAATGTATGAAATAAAAGCTAACGATGATTTCATGGTTTTCAATTGAGGCAACCGGGAAATTGGGAGTGTCATTAAGGAAACTGGAGGCATATCCAAAGAATGGAAGAACACAAATGGCCAAATAGTTTTTATCATGCTTCATTTGAGATTGAGAATGTAATATCTGAGGCCATACACATAACATTGTAGTTGGGTACAAGATTCAGATAGATGAATCAGCCAAATAGAGGTATGAAAATAGAAAGGATTTAGTCCCTGAGGAAAAAAATGTGGAAAATCGAGCACTCAGCAGCAGAGAATAAATTAATTTAGGAAATGACAAGTAAAGTATTAATATAAGGGAAGAGAGAAGAGATAAAAGGTTGAGGTGATTGAAAAACCAGGAAAATGCCTTTCAAACACACTTCTCTCTGATTTTATTCTATTCTAAAATAATTAAAGGAATGTCCTGAAGAATTTAACTTTTCTCTGGAATTTCAGAAGGCAGATTTAGAAATAACGCGTGGGTATTACAGAGTTGTAGACTTTGAATCAGAATAAAGAACTTCCTGACTATGTTCAAAATGGAATGGGTAACACTTAAGAGGAATTGAGCTCTCTTCCTATTGTTCAGTAGAGACTAATTCGAATACTTGAAATGTCAAGGACCCTTCCAACTCTGGGACTTTTTGAAGTCATGAAATATTTTTAAGGTCAATAAGAGCAGAAGCCACTTTCCTGAAGCTTAGCCAAAAAAAAAGGGCAGGAAGACGGCAGCAGCAGGTATACCCTACTTGTTCAGAAGTTAGGCTGGGAAAATGGATTAGTTTGTCAGGAGCTCTAAGTGCAGAGTGAGTAAGGAATATTTAATTATTTATCTTTGGTTACTTAAAATTATCTGGAATTTCGTGGTAGATGTTTTCTTTACAGACTAGAAATGCACAGTTCTGCAGTTCTGAATTCCTAACAGGGCTCTGCCCTGCTTGTTTATAATATTATACCGAGAACTTGAAATCAAGCATGAATCAAGGTGGAAATTAATCATACTAATTTTATGAAATCCCTCTTTTTTTTTTTTTTTTCCTTTAGATTTTTGCCATGGGTGCACGTGTTCACAGGACAGCGACAGATAAAGTGAGAAATCTCCCCCCAGGAAGTTGGCCATGCTGCAATCCCTTCTCCATTCTCTCAGGATTTGGAGTACTTAGGCATATGAGCCATACATATATTTCAGGCTGCCAGTCCAGGACTTGAACTGCAGAATCCACCATGTGAGATCTAGTGCCCTAACCACCATACCATCTGCTGGCCAATGAACACCAATTTTTTTTGTTCTTTTTTAGATTTTTGCCATAGAGTGTATACATCCTCTGAGCAGACAGAAAGTGAGAAATCACTCACCCAGGAGGATTGCCGCCTCAAGGCCATTCTTCATTCTGTTGGGATTTTGGGCATACACATACATGCCTGGTGTGAATTTCAAGCCACTGGGTCCAGGATTTGAAGCATTGTCAGCCATGTGGGAGTCATGGCGTGGTAGAACCCTGACTGGTGTCCTTTGTATATGAGTGTGTGTGTGTGTGTGTGTGTGTGTGTGTGTGTATGTGAGTGAATGAATAAATAAACAAACTTTGGGGGGGGGAGATAGTTAATATGTTACTGATGAAGGTTACCCTTAAACTACTTTCAAATGATCAGGGCTTTTCTAGAAAGCCCTTGAATTCCTTATGTATTGTACCTGCCTTTTGCCATTTCAAATACCTATTTACTTACCACACAACAGATAAATAGATCTTTCCCCTCTTTTCTCAGTGTTTCCTTGGTGTACTGCCTAAGGAAAAACCTCTTGCCTACTTGTCAGATTACAGAGTTTAGGACATGTGGTGCAAAGCACCTGCGTTTAGGGTGCATTCTAGTTCAGAGTTCTTTAAAATTGATAATTTATATTTTTTTCTTTTAAGACTGTTTTGCTTTTCTTAATTTCTTGGAGTCCTTGACAGTCAGCTTTTATAACTTAACGGCAGCTTCAATTCATACACCAGAAGGCTTTTAAGGTAAAAATTTATGGGCTTTAGAATTATATGAAAATGAGAAGAACCTAGAATAGCCAAGTTATAGGACATAGACATCTGATTTAATACTTTATTATAAACTCGCAGTAATCAAGAGAATGCGATGTGAGTACAAAGATAGATACGTAAGCTGAGGGAATAGAGTAGTCAAAATAGACCTGCGAATGGTGTAATGGTTCCATTGCTGGACTCCCATGTAGTTGACCGTGGTTTGAGTCCTTGACCTAGCGGCTTAAAACTCACGCCTGCATGTATGTGCTTCCCCCAAATCCCAAGAGGAAAATGGAGGAGAAGGGATTGCATTGTAGCCATCCCCTGCTGGGAGGTGATTCTCTCTCTGTTTCTCTGGTGAATACACACGCCCTATAGCAAAGTTCTCTAAAAGAAAAAAATGTATTGGCAATTTTTTTTCCTACAAAGGCCCCGTTGTAGGACCAGTCTCATAGCCTAGTGGTTGAGGGAGCTGGATCCCACATGACCCACTGCAGTTCAAATCTTGGCCCCAGCAGCTTGAAAAAACATGCCAAGTATGTGTGCCCCAAAACGAACAGGATGGAGAAATGGAAGAGAAGGGATTAGGGTGTAACCAGGCTCCCCAACCCCTGCATTAGGAGGTGCTTTTTTTCTGTCTCAAACACACATGTGTATATCATGTACCCTCTGGCATTTAATAGAAAAAAAGAGATGAATAAACTTTGTTAGTTTGTTTATTTTTCATTTCTTAGAATTATTTATTTATTTATTTATACATACATAAGTACATACCAGACAGGGACAGAATGAGAGAGAGAGGGAAAGCGAGAAAGCAAGCTGCCAGGTCCAGGACTTGAGCTGCAGTCGGCCATGTGGGAGTCCAGCACCCCCAACTGTCACACCACCTGGCTGGCCCAGTGAAAGACTTTAAAAAAGTTTATTCATCGGGGCCAGCAGGTGGCATGATGTTTAAGACTCTGAATGCCACTTGGCCAACTACAAGGTTTAAGTTCACACCCAGCAGCTTGAAAAACACGCCAGGCACACGTGCACACATGTACCCCAAATCCCAAGAGGAGAGTAGAGGAGAAGGAATTGTGATGTGGACATACCTCCTGAGGGATGATTTACTTTCCTTCTCAAATCTCTGGTAAGCTCACACACACTATAGCAAAAATTAAAAAAAAAAACAAAAACTATTAGAGTACATGAATTTTATTGTATACAAATTATACTTGTTTATTTTTTAAATAAAGCATTTTTACATTTAGTGGCCTGAATTTTATACTTTAATTCTGAAGTTTTTTTCTTTTAGTAGTTAAGTCAATGTGCCTCTGATTTAATATCACTAAACTATATAGTAAAATCTTGATTTCTCCTACCAGAGCTAACTTCTTCCTTAATATATAGAACTAAGAGACCACTCAGAAGAGAGAGATTAATTGTGGTGCTGGGAATCCAGGAAGACTCCATCGTGACATTTACAGTGGGTCTTACAGTGGGTCTTAATTCCCCGGTACTTCTTTTTTTTTCTTTTTTTTTTATAATTATTTTATTTTATTTTATTTATTCATTCATTTTTTTTTAAATTTGATCAGAGAGAAACAGACGTTGAGAGTGAGAGAGAGAGGAAGCGAGAAAGCAAGCCACCAGATTTGGGACTCAAACCCTGGTCGACCAGGTGGGAGTGTCCAGTGCCTTAACCACCACACCACCTGCTGGTCTCTCCCCCTGGTACTTCTTAAAACTCCTAGAAAGTAGAAACATATTTACCTCATCCTTGAATCCTTCACTGTGCTTTGTACGGTATTAAGTTCATAAATGCATTTGAGAATTGTTTTAATGATACTTAGTCACATTATTTAAAAATACTTACTAAATTTGCTGCTCATAATGAGTTGTCTAGATTATAAGATTATTTCATTCTTAGCACGTATTTGTAGGTCTTTAGCATAGACTTCCATTAGACAGGAATGGAAATTGTTTAGAGTTCATTAGTAATGAAGCAAAACCCCTTTCTCTCGAAATACTGTGTGTCAGTTTGATGAATTAGAGAATTTACCTTCTCTGCCTGGATTAACCGGTATCCTTAAGGACTGACATCTATAGACCTGAGTGGTTTTGTTTGTTTATTTTATGTTATTAGTAAGACTTGAGAGCTATTTTAATAATCAACTGAGCATCATAATGCATAAGGTTATCTTTATCATCGGCTCAATATTTCTATTTGGATTGAATTTTGTCTTTGGTGTGTTTCATCTAAAATCTTCACCTAAAAATTTTTTAGATGTTTCTTTTTTGGAGGGGGCATGCCAGCAGGTGATATAGTGGTTAAGGCATTGTACTCCATGGCCAACTGCGGTTCAAGCCCGAGACTTGGTGACTTGAAAATCTCCAAGAGGAGAACAGAAGGGATTGCAGCATGGCCGTCCTCTCCATGGGGGCTGATTTCTCACTTTTCCTCTTACTGTCTCTGTCTGTCTCCAGCCAGCATACATACCCTATGGCCAAACCCTTAAAAAAAGGTTTATTTTTTTTATTTATGTAAGTGTAGAATATTTTGTGTTTCTAAATATTCATTTACATGCATACTTGCAGTCCTCAGGGACTTACAAAACTTAGAACTGTGCTCCAGTTTTATTTAACATGAATAACATCTCTTTAGGAAAAGTGATCATTTCAAAATTGCTTCATGTAGCCTTCAACCAAGTAAATTTTTGCCATGTTTTTTGCCTTTAGAAATTTTAAGTTTATTAATCATTTTTCACCAAACATTTTTAAATGTAAGAAAATTAAATTCCTGTGTCTAATATTTTAGGGTAACACCTGCTTGGAGAATGGATCTTTCTTGCTGAACTTTACAGGCTGTGCAGTGTGTAATAAGCGAGATTTTATGCTGATCACAAACAAATCCTTGAAAGAAGAAGATGGGGAAGAAATAATAACCTACGATCGTAAGTCAGCGCTTTTTCAATGCCAGTCTGATAACAGGTTTCAGTTTTTGGAAGTTGGCATGTTGTGCCAAGTATTCTAAAGCCTATTTCCCTATATATTGTGAAACAGTTACTAGTTAGATTTTTAAGAAGAAAATATAGTTAACCTCTCATTTATTGTAGATACTATCATAAATGACTTTTGCAGATAAGTAAAGCTTATGATTTAGGCACTGAATTTTTTTATTAAATTATTTTATGGGACATATTTTTAGAGACTTTATATTGACTTAATGCAAATGTAGGAACTGTTTTTTGATTAACTTAGAGTATGCCATGTAAGTTTTCACTTTCTAGTATAGTATAATACAGTGATATCCGCTACAGCTATTAAAGTGTTCAGGGCTCTTTTCCCCTACACTAAGTGACCATAGGACATTTCATAGGCTGCTGGGGTTTTTTTTATTGTTTTTTTTTTAGTTTTTGTTTCTTCTTTTGTAACTTTTTTGTTTCCCATCACACTGTCAATCTGTTGTCTTTTATTTGCACTGCTGGAAGCATGCCACCTTCATGTGCTGCTCCTTGTCCTTGATACTGGAAAACCAACTTAATAAACTATGTATAATTAAAAATAAGTCAATTTTGAGGTTGGCACTAAGAATTTCTATGATTAAATGAAGCATATGTATACCTTAGTGGCCAAATACTGTAAGAATTTAAGTTCTTGGGACCAGTAGTTAGTGTAATGGCTATGTCGCTGGACTCCCGCATAGTCGACCGTGGTTCATGTCCCAGACCCATTGGCTTAAAACTCACGCCGGGGCACGTGTGCGTACGTGCCCAAGATCCCAAGAGGAGAATGGAGGAGAAGGGATTGCGGCATGACCATCCCCCCTGGGGGGTGATTTCTCACTTTCTGTCTGTCTCTGTCTGTCTGGCGAGTGCACACGCTCTAGAGCAAAAAACCTCTCCAAAAAAAAAAAAAGTAATAATAATATAAAAACTATTTCTT